GAACGTCATCTGACACACACACAATAGAATGTCATCTGACACGCACACAACACAATGTCATCTGACGCGCACACAACACAACGTCATCCAACGTCCAACACACACACAACAGAACATTGTCCGACTCACACACAACAGAACGTTGTCCGACGCACACACAACAGAACGTCATCTGACGTGCACACAACACAACGTCGTCCAATGCAGCGCTGGGAGGCGGGCCGTGAGTTTGGAGAGCACTTGGAACACACAGTGCCTGCAACAATGGACTCCAGCGGACCAACGGCTGTGAAGATGGTGTGGGGCCGGGCAGTGTTCTGTTCTGTTGTCACAGGGTCACGAGTCAGGGCCAACTCGACAGAACTAACAGCAATGCTGCCTTGAAAAGTTCTTAGGAAAGGAGGCCGCTCAGGGCCTGACAAGGTGGATCAGCAGATAGGCAACGTGTGGGAGCTACACAATGGCACAGCTGCCCAGCACCCTCCATGTCCCCCAAGAACGTCCCTGTGGCCACCCTAACCAGAAACCTGCAAGGAAAGGGGTTCCGGGAGAGGCCATTCAGCCTAGCACAGCGCGCACATTGCAAGGCCATCACGGGAGCCCTGTCCTCTGTCTACCTCTGACTAAACCTTTTATGATGTGATTGTTTTAACCTAGTTCTTGACAGTTAAAAAAATTTGTTTTGAAATTGTTCCATGAAAAATCAAGGGGCCAAAGGGAAGCAGGCTGTCTGCCAGTGAGACCGCGTGTCCAGCTGTGTCTAGTTACAAACCAGCTGCTGAGGAAAGAGAAGGCCGGTCCTCTGCCCTCCCCTGCTGTTCCTCTCGCCTGGGCTCCCGTGCTCTGACTGGCCTGGCCTGTCTGGCCTCCTGCGGCCGGTGTCCACTGCAACCAGAGGGAATCGGTCCCCAAGGGTCCTGCTTGAAAGCCAGTGCCCCTTGACTTCTCATCGCCTGGCTGACGAAGTCATGAATCCTCATGCGGTGCTGGGGCCCTGCTGGGCCTGGGCCTCCCCGCTCCTGGCAGCTCTGCTGAGTCTCTGGGGGCCTTCTTTCCTTTTCTCTAACTCACCTGTTGCCTCAGGGCCTAGACACGCACACACAGAGTTCTCTGCCTGAATTGGAATGTCACTTTCCCAGAGGGGACTTCTCTTCTTCCTCAAATTCAGGTACAGCTCCTGCTTCCCCCTCACCCTGTGTCAGGGTCACATGCGTTACTTCTGTGGCCAGAAGGTGGCTGCTGGGCTGCCCCTCCGGTTCCGTCAGGAGCCGACTCCTCAGAGGCTGTTTTCCTGACTTCAAACTTACTGAAAGGAGCCACGAAATTACCCAAGCCCACAAGCTGAGGGCATCTGTGTTAGGTCCAAGAAGCCTTCGAAGGTTTCCTGCTGGGAATGTTCTAGAATTTTAGCAGAACAGTTTAATCAGGTTGAGGTGGGGGAGGATGAAGCAGGAAATACAGTCCCACCTCAGAGCGTGTGGTCTGGACTTGGAGACAACGTCACGGGTGCTCCCAGGAGTGCTGAGTGCTGTGAAGGGTGAACGGACGGGCATCTCCGGCCACCATCCAGCCTGGGGCAGGGAGGAGTCGGCTGGCTTGAGAGGCTGCCTAGGTATGTGCAGGATGCCAGTGGGCAGCAGGCGTGAGAGTGGGCCGTGTCTCAGGACTCTGTCGTGTTCAGGTGCTTCATTAACTTAGCCAACAACGGAACTGGACAGCTCTTACCCATCCTGTTTCTTAGAAGAAAGTCAGGATTGGCTCCGGAAAGCATCTCCCTTCCTCTTCCTGAGCCGCTGTGGGGGGGCATCTCTCTAACAGCTGTAATCACTGGTGCTCCCACTCTCCCTGCACCTCCTAACATTTCCCTTCATCCTTTGACTTGTCACTTCTGGCTTTTGCCACTGCTATTAGCTGGTTTGTTGGGAGCTCTGGTAGCGTAGTGCCTAAGGCACTTGACTGCTAACCACAAGGCTGGTAGTTCAAACCTACTGGCCACTCCTCAGAAGGAAGATGGGGCAATCTACTTCTGTAGTGATACTGTCTCAGCAACCCAAGGAGAGGTCACTATGGGTTGGATCCAACTCCACAGCAATATTTGCATTTTTTGCATTACTAGCTGGTGAGACAACTGAGTGGGGTTAGTATGTTCTCAGCTCCTCGATACACACTTTATTTTTCACTTCTGGAAAGTAAGGAGTGTGATTTGTTTGTTTTTCACAATACTAATGTTGTTGGGAGCTCTAGTAGCATAGTGCCTAAGGCACTTGACTGCTAACCAGAAGGTTGGTGGTTCAAACCCAGCAGCCACTCCTCGGAAGGAAGACGGGGCAATCTACCTCCATAGTGATACTGCCTCAGAAACCCAGGAAGGGTCGCTATAAGTCGGGTCCGACTCAACGACACATAACAACAACAACAATGTTGTTGTTAGGTCCTGTCGAGTTGGCTCTGACTGATAGCGACCTTGTGTACCACAGAACGAAGCACGGCCCGGTCCTGTGCCAGCCTCACAGTCTTTGCTCTACTTGAGCCCATCGCTGCAGCCACCGTGTCAGTCCGTCTCGTTGAGAGTCTTCCCCTCTTTTGCTGACCCTCCACTTTGCAAGCATGACATCCTTCTCCAGGGAATGGTCCCTTCTGACAACGTGACCAAAGTGGGTGAGATGGAGTCTGGCGATTGTGTAAGGAGCATTCTGGCTATACTTCCAAGACAGATTTGTTTGTTCTTCTGGACATGGTGATTGAAAATTTCATGACTTGGGTCAGGCACACTTTAGTCTTCAAAGTGCCATCCTTGCTCTTCAACTGTTTAAAAAGGGTTTTTGCAGCAGATTTGCCCAGTGGAATTCTTGACTGCAGCTTCCATGGGTATCAATTGTGGATTCAAGTAAAATGAAATCCCTGACAACGTCAGTCTTTTCTCCATTTATCATGATGCTGCTTATTGGTCCAGTTGTGAGGATTTTCATTTTCTTTATGTGGAGGTGTAATCTATACTGCAGGCTGTAATCTTTGATCTTCATCAGTGAGTGCCTCAAGTCACCTTCATTTTCAACAAGCAAGATTGCTTGTTTGTAATGAGTGTTCCTCCAATCCTGATGCCACATTCTTCTTCATATAGTCCAGCTTCTTGGATTATTTGCTCAGCATACAGACTGAATAAGTATGGTGAAAGGATACAACCCTGACACACGCCTTTCCTGATTTAAACCGTGCAGTATCCACTGTTCTGTTGAAACCACTGCCTCTTGGTCTATGTACAGGTTCCCCGTGAGCACAGTGAAGTGTTATGGAATCCCCAGATACCGTTAACTGGCATTTTTTGAGCGTTTGCATTGTCCACTCCATGTGTGCTGGTTTGTTGTCCTGTGGGAGCTTGAGTGTTGCTGTGGGGCTGGAGGCCATGCCGCCGGTGTTTCAAATCCCAGCAGGGTCCCCGTGGGGGACAGGTTCCAGCAGAGCTTCCAGACTAAGACAGACCAGGAAGAAAGGGCTGGCAATCTCCTTACAGTAATTAGCCAATGAAAAGCCTACAGGGCAACAGAATGCTGCCCAGTGTGGTGCTGGCAGACGAGCCCCTGGGTGGATGGCACTCACCTCAGCAGTGGCCGAGAACACACCAAGGATGACAAAGATCCCACGTTCTGTGCTGGAACCCACAGGCCGCCATGATGGAGCCCACTCGATGGCAGCTACCACCACCAATGTGCTCTATACTTAATTCTTAGAAACCACCCTGGATAGTCCCCTTGAGAGAGGAGGCCACTGAGGGGCCTCGAGGTTAACCTGTGAGCTGTCACACCGTGCTCACTGCCCCCTGGCACTCTCAGGAAGGGCCTGACGCCCGTAGTTCACGCCATCCGGCCTCCACGCTGCAGGAGGCAGGCTTCAGGGCAGCCCCTAGGCCTTTGCAGCATGAGGCTGGGCAGGAGTCAAGGTTCCCTCTCAAGTTGTGTGTGTGTGCGTGGGAGGGGAGATGAGTCCTCAGCTAACCAGTGACAAAGAAGGGCCACAGCCCCAGGGGAGGTGTCCCCTGCCCCCCCCCCATCCACCTGCCCAATACCTTGAGCTTTAAAAGCTCATTTCAAAGTTCACTGTCCGCTTTAAAGGCAAACGAGCAAATGAGAAGTTAATTTCGAAGCTGATTGCAAAAGCTCATTTCAGAGCTCACTGTAGATTTCATCGCCAACATCCCACTGTTTTTCTGGAAAATGCCTACCACGTCTTCCTGAGCTGGGAGCAGGCTGGGAAGTCTCACCTGGACTAGAGGTAGTCCTGAGGACAAGCTCAAACTGGTTGTAGCTCTGAAGGAAGACCCGGGAGGTTTGCAC